CAATTTTCATGCACGCAGAAACCACCCTGACAGCAAAGCTGTCCCACCACCTCGGGGTTGCAATTGGCCCGCCGGCAGAACCCGCACACTGCAGGGGGGGCAGCAGCATCACCCCCTGCACTGTGACGGGGTCCCAGTGTAATGCTGGGAGCGGGATGGGGGAGAGACGCAACCACCTTCCTATGGTGCTTGCGTCCACAGTCCCCTCTGGCAGGGTCCCAGCGGGATGCTGTGCACTCACCTTCCTCACCAGGGCCGTCCCGCTGCCTCTTGCACTGGGGAGGCGCACAGGAGGGCTCGTTCTCCTCTGGCAGCGCTGCTGGACACGGGGCCTTGCGGCGCCGTGATTTGCGCTTCATCACTGCAAGTGGCTGCAGCCAAGGAGGTGGCTGGGCCTGGCAATGTTGGTTTGCTCAAAGACCCTACTGATGTGGGGCTGCGGGGGGGCGCCCTTTAAGTGCAGGGTGATTGTGATGCGGCAGCGCACGAGGGCTCCGCCCGGGGCATCTGGAATGCGGGGAGAGGCACAGGGCTGCGATCCAGGGACAGATGGAGGGAGGGAGCGTGGTGTGGGCTGGCTCTGCTCATCGTCTCCCTGCCCCTCGCAGTGCCCACCTTGCAGCCAGCCCAGGCGCTGGACCCACCGGCACGGGACCCACCAGTACAGGGGGACGATGGCTTCCCTGGCCCTGCTGCCGCGCTATTGCTGATACAAGCCAGGATGCCGTTGACCTTCTTGGCCATCTGGCCACAGACCTGGCTCAGCTTTAGCTGGCTTTTGACCACCACCCCAAGCCATTTCCACCAGCCTCTTTTCCCTGGTGCATGGGGTTGTTGTGACCCAAGTGCAGCATTAGCACTGAGCCTTGGTGAACCTCGCCTGGGCATGGGCTGCTTCATCTTGGAGGGGATCGGCCGTACCCCTTTTTGGTTTCCCTGCCCTTCCAGGCCTCCTGGACTATTCCTGGGTCCCCGTGGTGAGAACAAATGCTGATGTGACCCGTTTATCCCGCAGGATTTATCCAGTCTCACTCCAGCAGCAGATCCGCATGAGATCTTGTATTAAACCTATTGAGCAATGTACGGCTTATGGGGAAGGCAGCTTCACGCGGACGTGGCGGGGTCATCTGCTTCTGCCGCTGGTGCTGCTGGAACCAGTCCTGGGACCACACAGAACCTCTTTCCCATTCTGCAGCTCCACGCTGCGGGGAGAGAAGGGCTGCGTTAGATGGGGAATGCAGGGTGAGCCATGCCCTGGCAGACGTTGCAGGCACCCCTTCCCCACATCCCCCCAAAGGTCTGACTTTAAGCAATCTGGAGCCTTGGGTTCTTTCCCCTCTGATGGCAGCTGAAATGGGGAGTTCTGGGGCTCTTTGGGCTAGAGCAGTGAGAAAGGAAGTGCATGGAGGGGCCAGTGCAGTCCCCCCTTATGGCACCCTTTGGGGGTAGCTTGTCTTGGGGCTTCCTGAAAGGCAGAACAAGGAAGGAACGTAGGGAAGAGCACAGGGAAGGTGGCTGAGTGAGGGTGAGGAGCTGGGTGCCAGGGAGGAAGGCTGGCTTGGGGTACTCAGCGCAGAGTCTTGTGGGAGCAGTGGGAAGGTATCTCCTGGTAGCTCTTGATGAGGAGGGCAGGGATTTTCTGCCGGATGAACACGTCCTTGTAGCAACAATTGCTCTAGGGGCTGCAGACTGAGAGGAGGCAAAAGGGATTGGTGCTTTCCCACCCCTGGCACAAGGGATGTGGGGGTACCCCTGAGACTCTCTTGCTCCCTTCTGCTACAAGGGGTCCCCTCTCACATCCCTGGCAGTGCTGCTTTGCTGCAGGGTAGGAACCCCCTGTTTCCCTGCCCACGGAGGGCTTACTACTGATCTCCCCAGCCTGGGTGCCAGGTCTGACGCTAACTCTGAATCTCTGCTCTGATCAGGGGAGCAGGGTGAGAAAGGCTGTTTGTGATATCCAGCTCCCCAAAGCATGCCCAATCCTCTGGCAGTGGTCTTTCTGCCTGCAACAGCAGCAGAGCCTGGGGGTGTCCATCCACAGAGCAGCTCCTCAGCTCTTCAACACGGCGATGCTGCAAAGCAATTCCCTGCCTGGAGCTTGCTGCCTCCTTGGGATTGCCACTGGGGCTCTGGCCATGGAGCTTTGTGCCTCAGCCTGGCTCATGCCTGGGGGGGATCCTTGCAGCAGTGGCAGTGTTGGTGCTGTGGCGTTTGGGGCACCCAAATGGAATCTGAAAGTTGCACTTCCACGGCCAGCGTTTCCCTTTCTGCGGTTTCCTTCTCCAGCTCAGCAAATTGGGGTGCTCTGACATAATTTCCCTGGTATCATGGACTCATTTTCTTTCCTTGAAAGCCTGTGCGGGCCACGTGGCCGGGGAGGAAAGGAGGGCATGGCCACAGGGCTGAGCCTTGTGCAGAGCCCTGCAGAGCCCAGCTCCAGCCCTGCTTCAGATGCCTCAGCTCCGCAGCACCATGAAGTTCTCTGCAGCCGCTCTGGTCGCTCTCCTCCTCATGGCTGCCCGCTCCCCATCTGAGGCCCATCTCGGTGAGTCCAGCATTGCTGCACCCTCCCTGGGGCGCACTGTGCCATTGCTCCATAGGAGCTGCTGGGGCAGAGCGTGAGCTCCATCCCCATCAGGAGGGGGAGAGCTGGGAGCAGGAGGTCAACGCTGGGACCCAGGGAATAGCACACAAGAGGGGACATGGGAGACGGCAAATCCTCCGGGAACCCCTGTGTCTGGGGTCTCCCCAGGGCTCTCTGTCTCTGCCCTCACAGATGGTGTCCCCACCACGTGCTGCTTCACTTACCAGCAACGCCCCATCCCACGGCACCTCATCACCCCTGCTTATATCACCAGCAGCAGCTGCAGCCAGCCAAGAGTGATGGGAGTAGCTCTGGGGGCTAAGAGGGCCATGTCCACATCCCTCTGCCCCAGCCATGGCTGGGGAACTATCGCAGGCACCCCCGCTGCCCCGGCTGAGTACTCTAACGTGGGACTTGTCCTGGCAGCATGATCATCACCAAGAAGGAGCTGTGCACAGATCCCAGGGGTCCTGGCTGCAGGCACATCTGCAGCGCTTCCAGAGCCTGAAGAACTGACCCTTCCCCTTTGCCACCCGTCATGCCCCTGGTGCTTCCCCAGCCCCGAGTACACAAGAGACCACTTGGACTGCAGCCTTCTTCAGTGGGAAAGCTTTCTATTTAACTTAATTAAACAAAGTACTTTTTGCTAAAAAGAGGGGGGAAAAAACACCAAATAAAATAAATTATATCAAAAGTAATAATTTAAACTGAAAATTATTTAAACCATATCAATTTACTTGCTAATGAACAGTCAGGAGTTTCGATGCCTGAATAAAGTATTTGTGTTATCAACTCCTTTGTGTGCTCTGAGGTCCCCGCTGGAGACCCGATGGGAGAGACAAGACCCATGGTGACACCCGTGCTCTCCACGCATCCTAGGGTCACTGCTCTCTCTGGAACAGAGCATCCTCAGCCCCACAGCATCCCCCATGGTGCCTCCCCCTCCGGAACCTGGGTTCAGCTCCAGTGCCACCAGCATCTCCACTGGGTGCCCAGTGCCAGCTCCTATTTGGGAAGCAGCCCGGCATCCCCTGTGATGCCAGGAGGAGGTTGGGGACAAAGCAGCGGCTCTTGCCCTGCAGCGCTCAGGCGCAACCAGCAAACCCACGTCTGTGAAGCTCCAAGTTTTATTAGAGAGAACCCGCACATCTCTAGGGTAGGGTCTGGGAGGGCAGGTTGGTGTCGGGGTGCCGACGGCGAGGAGAAGCCAGACACAACAACCCAATATGAGCGATAAACAAGCTTCTACTTTATTCGTGTTGTACATGGCTTATATCCTCGTAGCGCTAATTATGCCTACCTGTTTACAAGGGTCTTCAACCGCAGCTCCGCCCCTAGGGACTTTCCCCAGAGGTCAAGGACAGTGTGCCCTTCAGCTTAAGACATGTACATGTGAGGCCTACACTTTGCTTTGCTCGCACAAGGCCTCCAAGGATCCATGGCCTTGCTCCTGAAGCCATTCTGCAACAATTCCCCCTTTTTTCTTTCGTGCGAGCAAAACATTGTTGGTCATTCTGCTCACTTGTTTCATTAAACAACCATAAACAAGTTTAACAATTATAACGATTAAAATAATAACGATACATAAGCGCAGTCCTTCAAGTAACAGTATTTTAAGCCAACCTGTAATGCCCCATGAGGACAACCCTTTAGTTATCCCCAGGTCATTACTCACTTGCAATTGCTGGCTAAGCTGAGTCAGGGCTTTCAGCTGGGCGTGTATCTAATTAGAATGATCAGAAAGATTCATGCAACACATTCCATCAAATTCTTCACATCCATGTTCTTGTGCTAACAACAAAAAGTCTATAGCGGCTCTGTTTTGCAGTGTTGCATGTCTTACAGAGTCAACATCAAACAACAAGTCAGAAATTGCCTTCGATGTAGCATTTGTCTGTTTAGCAAGCCAGCAACCTAGCCTGTTTAACTGAGCCAAGGCCCCGGCCGAGGCCACACCTGGCGCGAAAAAAGAAGCTGCTATAATTGCGTCAGGGAACCAATATTTTACATCAGATCTACAATCAACAGTAAAACTGTGTACAAAGCGTTTCAAGCGCCTTAAATGGTGCTGTCAAACATATTAAGAATCACTGAGGTGTTGGGGGTCAACAATGTCAGCCTTCCAATGGAGCAAGGTCCCTGTTGTGGCGGGCCGTAGGCCGGCTGTGGGCCGCAGCTCCCAGCCGCTGATGTCGCAGTTGGTGCTGACCACTGGGCGGAGGCTTGAACGGGGGCTGCAATTGTTGTCTGCGTGCGGCGGCCATTTGCGCTCCTCTGTCCGTTTCCCAAACGGCTGCAGGCTTCTGTGCTGTGGTTGTATAATTAGAGCATCACACAGCCCTTCTGCAGTTCTGTTTCATAAGTCCTTCCCTTTGCTTGCTCCGCACAAAGCCTCCAAGGATCCATGGCCTTACTCCTAGCCCTCTGCAACGTCGGGGCGCCGCGGGATCCCAGCCTCTTCGTCCCCAGGTGAGGTGTCAGGAGCTGGGACACTGTGTGAGGGTCCCTGTGCCAGTGGGTCCAGCACCTGGCCTGGCAGCAAGGCGGGCACTGCAAGGGGCAGGGGAATGATGAGCACAGCTAGCATGTGCCACGCTCGCTCCCTCGCTCCCTCGCTCCCTCCCTCCCTCCATCACAGCCCTGAGCCTGTCCCCATGTCCCAAGTAGCAGTGGTGGCCACATGGCTCTTGGGATCTTGTGTCCCGCCCCTCAACTTGCAGGCCTCACCAGTGCCCGTGTCGCTGCAGTCACAGCATTCCCAGGAATCCACCTCCTCTCCCAGGTTGGAGCAGCGCCGGTGGGTCCCTCTGGAGCCACAGGAGTGGCAGAGCAGCAGTCGCCAGGGCCTGGGGGGGCAATGGGACCCATTGCAACCAAAGGCCCCTGAGATGGATGGGGGTTGCCAGCCTGGTACCTCCATCGCCACCCGAAGGGGGCGACCTCAGGGACCACCAGCACTCACCCATTCTCCTCTGCCTCCTCCCGTCCCGCGGGGCACAGGCACTGGCTGGTGTCGCAGGATCTGTGCCGCTCATAAAGGCTGGCAAAGGCTCCATTCGCCTCCCAGGCAGCATCCCTGTGGGACCAGAGGAGCGCTCAGGCCTGGGGATGTGGGGAGGCAGGAGGGGATCGGCCGGAGCACCGCAGAGGGGAAGGAGGCAGGGGGAGGGCACCGACCTGTCCGGGATTTTGATGCCCAGGCGGAACATCTCTTTTTGGAAGGTGTCCTTGTCACTGCAGAGAGGGCAGCGGAAGTAGTGCAGGGCAGAGCGCAGCGCCTGGCCCTGGGACAGACACAGCATCAGCACCAGCGGTGGTGGGGTCCCATTCACCCTCCCCAGGAGCTTGGTGATGGGGTGACCACAGGGTTGATGACGTCGGGGACCGCAGGTGCTGCTGCTGCCTACCTGAATACAGTGGCGGTGGAACCAGGCGCTGGTGCAGGTGGGACAGACCAGGGTGTCATAGCACGGCCGCTCCGCCACCGCCTCCTGGCAGATGAGGCACAGGCTCTGCTCCTGCTGCACCGCCCGCACCCGCTGCAGCGGCCGGTGCTTCCAGCAGAAGGACCTGCGGACAGAGGTGATGATTCAGCCCCAGCTCTCGGCCATCCCGGCCCTGGCTCTGGTACCCCAGGGCGGTGACACTCACTTGTACTCCCCAAAGAACTGGGAGATGCAGCCCCGCTCGCTGCCGCAGGGGTAGTGGAAGGTGCGGGGACAGCGCCGGGCTCTGCAGGTGACCGAGGCGCCCGGCTGGCGGCATATGCAGCACCTCTGGGGATGACAGGAGGTGAATGGTGTCAGTGCCACATAGAACCATAGAGCCATGGAATCAACCAGCTTGGGAAAGACCTTCAAGCTCATCCAGTCCAACCGTTCCCCAGCACTGCCAAGGCCACCACTAAGCCATGGCACTGAGGGCCTCACCTACATGGGGTGTGAACACTTGCAGGGACGGTGACTGCAGCACTGCCCTGGGCAGCCCGTTCCAATGCCTGAGCATCCTCTGGGGAAGGAATTGTTCCTCATCTCCATCTAAACCTCCCGCTTGAAGGCATTTCCTCTGATCCTGACACTTGTTTCTTGGGAGCAGATACCGCTCCCTCCTGTCAGGCAGTTGTAGAGAGCTCTAAGGTCCCCCCTGAGAACTTCTCTTCTCCAGACTAGCGGCCCGCGCCCCCCCCAGGTCCCTCAGCCATTCCCCATCTCAGGCTCTGTGCTCCAGGCCCTGCACCAGCTCCGTTGCCTGTGGGGAGCGAAGGCGAAAAGATTGGCATGAAAAAGAGTTTGGGAATGAGCTCCAAAGCCTTGGTGCTGACAAGCCCTGCGGCAATGAGCTGGGGCCTTGAAGGCCAGACAATGTGGGGGCTGTGAGAGGGTCTGCAACGCCGTGATTGGACTATTTACCTCGAGAGTTTCACCGTGGCCAATGAGATTGAACGTTGTATGCATGTGCAGGTTGGGAAAGGACCCACCAAGGGGATAAAAAAGGCTTGGTGGGAATAAAGGAGGATTTGAGGCTCTGCATCAACTTGAGTCCCTGTCGTGAAACTCCACAATTGCCCTTCTCTGGAGCCATGCCCCTGGGGATTCCTGTTTGCCCTCATCCAGCACAACCCCACCACGTTCCAGTGACACCGGACCACTGATAAATCCACTTTGTCTCTCCCAGTCCCCATTTCCAGAAAAGAGGACTTTTTGGATCAAGGGGCATCTGGGCAGTTGCTTGCAGCCAGCTGCCAGAGCATCCCTGGGGGATTGCTGGCCTGTGCAGTGCTGGACATAGGGAATGGAGACCGTGATGCCCTCAGGCCTCACCTTCTGTGCCACCCGCTTCAGCTCCTCCTTGATGTCAGGGAAGAGGAAGCCGTAGAAGCCCTCTTCATCGGCCCCTCTCTGTTGCAGCCTGCCGGCGTGGTACTGCAAGAGGGGAGAAGAGGGTATGTGCCAGGGGCTGCTGGCGGTGCGGGGCCGCGGAGAGGGGGGTGTCAGGACCAGGCACTCACCAGGCAATTTTCATGCACGCAGAAACCACCCTGACGGCAAAGCTGTCCCACCACCTCGGGGTTGCAATCGGCCCGCCGGCAGAACCCGCACACTGCAGGGGGGGCAGCAGCATCACCCCCTGCACTGTGACGGGGTCCCAGTGTAATGCTGGGAGTGGGATGGGGGAGAGACGCAACCACCTTCCTATGTGCTTGCGTCCACAGTCCCCTCTGGCAGGGTCCCAGCGGATGCTGTGCACTCACCTTCCTCACCAGGGCCGTCCCGCTGCCTCTTGCACTGGGAGGCGCACAGGAGGCTCGTTCTCCTCCTGGCAGCGCTGCTGGACACGGGGCCTTGCGGCGCCGTGATTTGCGCTTCATCACTGCAAGTGGCTGCAGCCAAGGAGGTGGCTGGGCCTGGCAATGTTGGTTTGCTCAAAGACCCTACTGATGTGGGGCTGCGGGGGGGCGCCCTTTAAGTGCAGGGTGATTGTGATGCGGCAGCGCACGAGGGCTCCGCCCGGGGCATCTGGAATGCGGGGAGAGGCACAGGGCTGCGATCCAGGGACAGATGGAGGGAGGGAGCGTGGTGTGGGCTGGCTCTGCTCATCGTCTCCCTGCCCCTCGCAGTGCCCACCTTGCAGCCAGCCCAGGCGCTGGACCCACCGGCACGGGACCCACCAGCACAGGGGGACGATGGCTTCCCTGGCCCTGCTGCCGCGCTATTGCTGATACAAGCCAGGATGCCGTTGACCTTCTTGGCCATCTGGCCACAGACGTGGCTCAGCTTTAGCTGGCTTTTGACCACCACCCCAAGCCATTTCCACCAGCCTCTTTTCCCTGGTGCATGGGGTTGTTGTGACCCAAGTGCAGCATTAGCACTGAGCCTTGGTGAACCTCGCCTGGGCATGGGCTGCTTCATCTTGGAGGGGATCGGCCGTACCCCTTTTTGGTTTCCCTGCCCTTCCAGGCCTCCTGGACTATTCCTGGGTCCCCGTGGTGAGAACAAATGCTGATGTGACCCGTTTATCCCGCAGGATTTATCCAGTCTCACTCCAGCAGCAGATCCGCATGAGATCTTGTATTAAACCTATTGAGCAATGTACGGCTTATGGGGAAGGCAGCTTCACGCGGACGTGCGGGTTGACTGCTTCTGCCGCTGGTGCTGCTGGAACCAGTCCTGGACCACACAGAACCTCTTTCCCATTCTGCAGCTCCACGCTGCGGGGGAGAGAAGGGCTGCGTTAGATGGGGGAATGCAGGGTGAGCCATGCCCTGGGGTACCCTGCAGCATCCTTTCCCCACATCCCCCCAAAGGTCTGACTTTAAGCAATCTGGAGCCTTGGCTTCCTTCCCGCTTTTCTTGATGGCAGCTGAAATGGGGAGTTCTGGGGCTCTTTGGGCTAGAGCAGTGAGAAAGGAAGTGCATGGGAAGAGCCAGTGCAGTCCCCCCTTC